CCTCGAGTTCTAAGAATCTTGGCGAGATTCCAAAACTTAAACCCTTTAGAATTTTTGATTAGAGACGGAATACTGGAAACATCGAGTCCCACAATTATTTTCAAAAATTTGAATCACACGAATCTTGTCAAGATTCCAAAATTCGAGTCTTCGATAATTTTCATCAATTTTTCGTCGTTCGAATCTTTCGAATCCTAATTAAAGAATAGATAAATGTTTTAATTGAAAACTTTAAATTGTTAGTTTTATTGATTTCTAGTGGGAAATTCATTAGAAAAAGTATGTTCATTTGTTCAGGGATCACGTATATAACTTCATGGTGGCCTTAATGTCTCATTATTAGTTTTCTGGCTGGCATTAAACAGTTTGTTTAATGTTAATTTATGTCTATTCTTAAAATTATCCTCTCCCCTTTACATATGCTTTGATTTAAAAAGATTATTTAAAAATGTAAAACCTTCAACTGTTAGCCAAATTCCTTTTCGCCGAAATGCTATGAGGAAATGAATCTCAGTGTTCAAATCTTTCAGTTATGAATTTCGGTTGTACCTTCGTAATACATTTAGATGTATTTCCCCCAAAACTGTATTCTAAAATTTAGTTTTCGTTGAACTCAATTTCAAAATTTTGTTTTTAGTAAAAAAGCGTTGATTTCAAATGAAAATGTTTGGCTTTTTTTTATTAAAAATGAAATATTATTTTTAAAGTTTTCATTTAGAAATTTTTATAAGAAAAATTAAAATTATTCGAGAAAATTTTAGGATTCATTCCTTAATTAAAAGTTTTAAAATTCAGTAACTCTATTCTTATTCTTTGTTTAAGGATTAGACCGATTTGGTATTGGAAAGATTCGAGAGATTTAAGAGTCTTTAGGAATTAATCCTATGTCTTTCCATCTGGGAAATTATTTTAAAGTATTTAATCAAGAGAAGCTAGTTTAAATTAAGTAAAGTTTTCGGCTTTAATCTAAGTTGGTTGTGATAAAGTTATGTAGGTGCTGCTCTTTACAAAGGCTCCAGAAAATGACTCACTGCATCAGGAAGGTTTCTAATGGACAGGTGCGGCATCAATTCATCTCTGTCTAAAATGGCTCAAGAGAAAACATGCTGAGATGATGTTCTGCTAATCACTTATTAAGCACAGCGCCACCCCACCTTGTCAAAGCTCATCAAAATCTAAACTGGAAGATGAATTTTGCAGTTATCTCAATATCTGAAGCCGAATTAGAGGCACGAACGGGACGAATGGATGAACAAGATTTTCGCAATTACAGGAGGTGCTGTTGCCGCATTTTCGTGAAGGCTATCAAACGTGTACTCTCTGAATTTTGTTAATTAAAGTTTGATTATGCTTAATTTTGCATTTTGAAAAGTATTTTATATTAAAATTTTGAAAAATGATAGCTAGTATAAGGAAAAAAAATATCGAATAAATGCTAATTTCTTTAGTCTTCGATAAAATTATCTCTATCGTAAACAGAGAAGTCCGCTTCTTATGGGTGGCCTGCTATGAAGGTGCTGGTAATTGCATGCAAGTCTATCACTGTTTGAAAAGACAGAACCTTTTAAAAGGATGCTTAAAAGTAAAGATGTCAGTCGTCTTATGGAGAAAAGCTTTTAACTTATTAAAAAGGTAAATCTCAAACTAAGGCTGGCACCTTTATTCTGGGACACTATTTAGTTTGCTAGTCGGATTAGAAAACAAATAAACATTCTGTGTTCAAAAGAGTGTCCTGGCACAAAAGTTCTGGCACCCTTATGAAGGTGGAGAAAATCTGATTTGATTCACATAAAATGATTTATTAAATTTCCTGCTTTTGGCCTCCTGCATTTAGTGCACATGCATTTTGCTGAAGCTATGTATGCTGCATATTCATATTCTTAATCGCTAGGTTAGCATTAATATTTTCCGCATATGCATATGTTTTGATAAATCCAGGCACTAATACTCTTAGACATACGTGCGTTAGACAATAATAACACAGCATGATGTTAATGCGTTTGATGAACCCTAATAATAATACCAACTATAAACGGCGTTTCATTTTTCAAATTGTTGCCACCAATATTAGAGCCTGCATTATATTTAAAGAAATTAAATAATCAGGAATCTTCATGAATGTATGCACGTTTCTGGAACTGCGACAAAACAACGGAGCCTAGAGACATCGACTTTTAAATAACGTAGTCCTCCACTCGAATATGGGCATCTGAAAACCAAAAGTTGGAATTTGGAATTTGCTTTATTATCTATTTCCTATCTGTAAAAATTTAACAAATTTTTGATTAGAAAACTCAACGATTTCAAAGCAATCAATGGCAACACTGTACGGAAAAAAAAATTATCTCCAACGCACGAGATTGTGTATTGGAAATTCTAAAGATATGTTCTTTTTAAGTTATTTTGTAATATTTCTCTTGCATTGAATTTTATGGATTAAGTGCGAAGAATACGATATTTAATGAATAAACGTAACACACACACACACAAAGTTAAATAAACACTGCTTTGAGCGTAATATTATAAAATCTGAAAGAATTTTCAGAATTTTTTCCTTTTTTTTATATATGCGTGTAAGTAATTTTCATTGATATATGAGACTTATCAGACTTCCTTTATTATATTTTAAATAGCAATATCAAGACATATTATTTTCATACCAACAAAAGCTGTCAGATATATAAATGACGCCGTTCCGAAAATCTGCATTTTGGAAATCGAAACGAATTTTTGAGAAGCACAAATAAACAAGTAGCTATTACTTATTTCTAAAGATTAAATAAAGTGAAATATTATACATTATTCAGCATTTTGTGTAAATATGAATAATATATAAACATCTCCGCTGGATGAAATTTTAATTCTTAATATTGTTTCGAATTAGCAGAAATATACTGTCACCGGTCTGTCTCCGAAAGAGAGAATGTATAGGAGTAGCGTATGCGCATTAGTTGTAAGCAGCGCTGAATCGTCTGTGAAAGAATGTTTGCTTTTCATTTGTTTAATATCTTTTATACATTGTTTTAGTTTTATTACAGTATTTGAATAGAACATGGGGCAACGATTTGATAATTCATCAGATGATATAACTTTGTTCACTCGCTAAGTTATAATGTTTATTCACCAAAATAGTTGGTGGTAATGTATACATTTTCGTTTTCTTCTTATTTAGCCAAGATTTTACTTTATTTTCATTACTTCTAGTTTTATTTATCAAATTACAAAACGCTATGGACTTTGTTCCTGCCAAAGCAGGTAGACTTTGTGTGTAAACTTGTGCCAAAGCAAGTAGACTCTGTGTGTAAACTTGTGCCAAAGCAGGTAGACTTGTGTTACTCTTGTGAAACGTTTCAATGTACTGCAAATTGTGTTTTCATCATTTTACTTATTGCTTATTACAATTATTGCTTATCAGAAGAATAATTTTTATGAAATTTTAAAAATGCCTTACAATACATCCTGCAAGAGATGGGCGCCACCAGAGCCCCAGTCAACTAAAATGCTTTTCATCCCTACTAATAGATGGCGCCACACGAGCGCCTCATTTGTTCAAAAGTTTACTTATTCTATGGACGGCGGTACAGGAGCCTCCGTGGCTAATAATCTCTGAGTTCTAGCACAGCATGTGCACAAGTACTTCCATATTATTGGATACAACTTACTCGATTCTTCACGCATTTAAAAGTCAAGTATAATATATTAGTAAAGGCCGTTAATGGTTGATTACTATATTACCTACTAAGCGATAAGACATAGACATAGACATAGTTATAATGGGATTGAGATGTAGTGATGTTCAGTGAACATGGGCGAAAGAAGGTTGCTATGGTAAATAAATATAGGGAATTTAGAAGAGTGCGTTTATTCTAATGTGTTTTATGTGAATTAGCGATTGAAGGGATTAAATTCAGTTCAAATAGAGCAGGGCTTCCCACCCTTTTTGTCCTTAACACCACATTCTAGAATATCTGTTGGATGGTAAGCACCATTTACTTTTTCAAAGTGAGTTTATAGTTAGATAGAGTTAATAATACATGCATATAAAAAAAGATATCAGTTGAATTTTGCAATTTCTATTTCATTAAAAATGAGAAAATTTTCACATACAATTTTATTGAAAACTAAAACATTTGTATTGTGATCGCACAGTGGCGGCTACATATTAAACGATTGGTATAAACGATTATTGGTATTAAACGATAAGCTATGGTTAGGGCATACGGTTAGGGACCCCTGAAATAGAGTATAGTGGAAGTACGCCTGGTTTTGGAAGTTGTTAACTAACTGCATTTCCAGTTAAGTTATTCTTAATTTCTTCACTTTCCCAGTTGAAGAATTTAAAAAAAGAATCAGACGATCCTGTTCCCAGAATTTTTTTTTAAGAAGTAATAGTTAATAACGTATTATTTTCTAAAGCAAAATATTTAAAGTTCAATAAAAAAAAAAAGGCTTTATAATGGAGGAAAAAATTAAGTAAAATCTGAGAAATCACTAATTTAGTTACATTCCTCTCCCTTATAAATATATCAAACTAGGGATTCAGCAAATAAACATTTAACTCTATTTTTGTCTAAGTATAAAAGAATTATTTCTAACTTCTAGAAGAAACCCTAATTTCTAATTTATATGCGATAAATACTCTTTTAAGGAATGCACGAGAAAAAGGCAGATTATTCGATATGCGCTAACTTTCTTTTCCGGTATAAGAGCAATATAATGTGATACAAAGTGCTTTTATCTATTCTCTTCTTTCCTTTGAAGAAGAAATCCGGAGCCATTTTGTCGCAAGACACGGGATCTCGCGAGATTTATACTCGCAAACGATAAATCAGGAAAGAAAAAGCAGAGCGGACAAAATCCCTCGGTAAACATTTATTGTTCCTTCAATGGAGGTGGCTAGATCCAGCGAAAGCACCATGGGAATTTCTCTGTATACCTCAATTTCTATTTATTTACTTTTTTATGTCCATTTAAAAAGTCCAAGGCGGTGTTCTTTTTCAGTCACCAGAAGTGGTTGCCACTCAAGTTAGAGAAAAAGACTTGAAATGGAATAGCTCACAATGAAAAGAACAGAAAGAACGCAGCTTTGGAGGCGGTATTAAAGAAGCTGTGGTAACTAACATTTTGCTTCTTTTTTTCATTATTATTTATATTTTTTTGCGACATTTATACCGATACACAGCGTACGAAATAAAGCTACTAATTTTCAAAAAGCAGTTACAAAAATTCTCTGAAGACTGCTACTTATAAGGGCAGAATTCAAATAGTAACTTGAAAAAAAAAAAATAAATAAATAAATGAATTACAAGATTAAATGATGCCTTTAGCAATTAATTCTACGCCTTTTTAATTATGATTCAATGGAAAGTATGAAAGAGTATGTGATCATTCTCATGTATTTTTGTCAGGAAAATAGGTTAGCTTCTTATATACTACATTTAGAATTAAGAAATTTCAACTATTGTATTGTAAGATTTGTCTCTGTTATTCCATATAAACTAAATTAGATACTACAATGAACCTGGCTATTTCTCGCACAGGCGGGAATAAATAACCTATGTAAAGTATTTCTCCCGCCTTTTTAGCATGCCTTCGTGGTGTAGTGGTTAGCACACTTGGCGCATATTCGAGAGGTCAGTGGTTCGAGTCCCGGTGAGGCCATTGCTTATTTTTCACGTCTCCTGCTTTGAATACAGTATTATAACATTTATAATGTAAGTTAGGCATACAAATATAATAAGGCCATGGTGTAGATACAAGTACAGAAGTCTAGACGAAATTAGTACAAATATTTAAACATTACTCATCAAGCAATAAAAATATACAAAATTAAGTAAAGAAGAATATAATGGATACATACAATCGCTAGATACAGCTAAAGATGGTGGGTGCTTTACTAGTTACAAAATATAATAGTGTGTCTGGCGTTATTGATCAATCTTGTTTCCTTGCTGCCAACATGAGAATTACAGGCAAATAAATCGACAAAGCTGCTATTATATATAGCTAAACTCTTTTTCTTTTAACTTACTACCTTTTATGTTCCTAATCAGCCATTTTTAAATTCTGTTTCTTCTTTTCTTATTCCATTATACGGCATTGCTCCTTCCATAATATGTTAAGTAGCTTACATGAAGCAGAATTTAGAAAAGGATATATAAATGTATAAAATGTAGTTAGATCTTAGTTTCAAGTTTTAAAAAGTTCTTAATCTTATTAAGAAAATGGAACAAAAACGTACTTTTTTGGCACGACTTTAAATTTTTTGGCCTTCTAAATTAGGTTACATTATCATGTCGTTTATCCTTCAACAGCCGAGCAAATTTCACGAGACATGTCACGTAAACTGGCAGTAACCACTTTCTATAGTGGTGCCATTCGACTTGTTGTAAGCTCTTGAATGTAGTTTCTTTCAAATCTTTACTGTATTTTTAACGAACTGCGCGAATTAAACATCGTCAAATCACTATAATTTCAACTTAAAGTCACGAATTACGACTACAAGAAAAGCAAGCATACGCAGCTAATACTCTTCTTCTGTAAAAAATTAGCATAGTTTTAAAGCGGCATTTTGCCGTCTTTCACACAAAGAAATATTTTAATGTTCTACACGGATATCCCACTACTAATTATTACAAAGGACTCTCGCTATCTGCAACGGATACATAAAGTACTTCCTCTGACTTCAAAATATATTCTTGCGTGCAATTCGAAAGCGATTAACGCATTTCTTATTAACTTAACCATTATTTTTTAATAAAAAAATTAATTTTTCATTGTATATCAAACAGATACGTATTATGTAAAACACCCTTAATGTATAATATATATGATTCATAGTTTTCATAAAAATTGAGAGAGAATTTTTATGAATTATGATTTCATAAAAATTATAATTTAAAAAAAAATCGTATAACGTTGTAAGGTTATATTTGAGCTGAACTTGAAGTTTGGTACTATAAAACCCTATTAGACAAGCAGAGAGCTATCGCAGTGTTTGAAATAGTACAATAAAAGACTTAATGTTTTAAACAATATCTTTATTCAATTGAACATTCAACAAAGCAGGCACAACTCCTGCTACAAGTAAACCACTGTCGATGTAAAGCAAACAATAACAGACACTCAAATTTAAACTTTTAAATAAAATAATCTATGACTTCACAGCCAATAAGTAAGCTACAAAGCTAAGTTATCTGAGATAATACCTTACAAGATACAAACAAGTAAAGAAGAATATAATGAATGCATACAATACAATCGCTAGATACAGCTAAAAAAAGATGGTGGGTGCTTTACTAGTTATAAAGTATTGCAGTGTGTCCGGCGGTATTCACTGATCAATCTTGTTTCTTTATAATGCTGTCAACAGGAGAATTACAGGAAAATAAATCGACAGATAATACAAATAATACAGAAAATACAATAATGAGATAATACAAAGCTGGCACAATCTAACGGCGCAGCACGAGTGCCAGAAACTGTTTCACCCTCTAGCTAAGATACTTTATTATTTTCGTTGGTATACTGGCTTACAGCACGTGATATGTTCCCCAGTACCTTAGAGATTCCCGTTTAGGGCCTGAAGTTTGTGAAATCTGCAGTTAAATACACTCATGTCCATAAATTAAGGATAATGCAAAATCAGGCAAAGGAAGAGTTAGAAGCAAAACAAATTTAATTTATTTGTAAAGTTTATTTATTAAACAAAAGGTAAAGAGCAAAAAAAGATGCTATATGTTTGATATTATTAAAAAAATTAGCAATTTTTTCTCCCTGAAGCAAATTAAAAAAAAAAAATTATTTACAAAAAATCAATATTACATGGTTGGTATGATTGTTATTACATTGTATGTCTCCCAGACGATGCAATACAGTCCATACAACGCCTAGGCATGCTGAGTGTCAAATTATCGATCTGATCTTGGAGGATATTACACCATTTTTTTTTTTTTTTTTTTTTTTTTTTTTTTTTTTTTTTTTTTTTTGTTTTTTTTTTTTTTTTTTTTTTTTTTTGGATTTTCAACCAAGCAAGCATGCTTTCCGAAGTTCCGGTAGACATGTAGGAAAAGGTTGACGGGCTGCAACTCGTCGGCCAAGCATGTACCACATGTGCTCTACTGGATTCAAGTGCGGTGAGAATGCTGGCCAGTTCATACGGGTGATATCCTTCGATTGAAGGCATTCGCTTATAGTGTTTACACGGTGAGGACGGGCTTTGTCATTCATAAACACAAATTGTGCGCCCATGGCGCCCCGAAACAAACGTGCATGTTGTTCCAGAATGACGTCCCGATAGATTTGGCGTGTCATGGTTCGAATTTGAACATGCAGGTCAGTTCTGGAACCCAGAATAATTCTACCCCAAACAAGCACTCCTGCACCACCGTAACAGTGTCGTTCAATGATGTTTCCTTGGTGGTAACGGAGCTCTCCATATGAAAGTTTTGCGAGAACGGACTGCAAGCTAAACCTGGACTCGTCGGAAAACATCACACAAGCCCATTGTTGCGGTGTCCATAATGCGTGCTCTCTACTCCAGGCTAACCGCAGGCGACAGTGAGTTGTAGTAAGTGGAACGCATCTGACAGGTCTACGATATATACCGATCTGCCCCAAGCTTCTGTACACGGTCTGCCTTGAAATTGTCGTACCAGTGGCTGAAGAAAGCTGACGAGACAGGTCTGAGACTGTGCTCCGCCTATTTCTTTTGGTAGTAACTGCCAAATGCCGGTCCTCATTCGGCTTTGCAACTCTGGTGCGACCTGTGCTGTAACGTCTACTCACATTAACATCATCTTGGAATCGTTTCCAAAGCCTGGAGATGGCACTTTGGGCAATTCCAAGTTCGTCTGATACTTCCAGTTGGGTACGCCCACATTCCAGACGGCCGATAATTCTACCACGTAAAAAATCATCCAAATGCGTCCTTTGTATCATAACTATTCGGTTATTGCACTGAAATGCTTATAAAGTGCCTGCGAACAATTTTACTTCTTTGCCTGTATTTCTTATATATCACTCTCTTACACTCTCGTCATTGTGACGTACCATCGGTGTCATCTGGTTACTTCCTGAAATTTGAATATGATTCTTGAAGATGTGTGTAGTGATTTTAGAGGTGATATATTTATTTTATAGTTCAATTTCTGCGTGACTCCGAATTATTCTTAATTTATGGACGTGAGTGTATATCCTCTAGATGAGGTGAATTTGTCAGGCAAGAAGTTTTGAGCACTTTGTTTCTTGAAAGCAGACTGGAGGCTTGGGAGCTAGTCAGGTAAATTACTTCGACGAATCTTGAGATGTGGGTTTATTTTCATACTATATACAACGACCACTTAAAATGCACAGAAAATTATGTTTCATATGATGGAGATGAGAAAAAGTCTTTCAGAATCGTAAACTTGAAGAAACAGAAGTATTATGTTATCATTAGTTATCGTGGATTGGCTATGATCCAAAAGCCCTCAGTTTAAATACACTTAAAACTAATTTGCATTCTTGAGGGAATACGGAAAGGAAAAGTTAAAGTACTGATCAAAATTGTAATAACTGGTTAGTTTAACGTAAGAAACTTACAACGTTATATATTATATGTCACGGCAAAAATCCATTAGATTTTGGGAAATATTTTTGCAGAGTCTGTTTAAATGCTTTAGACCGCTGAGTTTTTACCTTACATTAAGTTGGAGGTTATAGTTACTAGAATATCTTCGCAAAGGTCACAGGGACTATCTCTCTGCGGGGAGGCATGCCTTCTTGGAGGACTTTCTAATGAGCACTGGCTTGTATTCACGTTACACATGGCGAAAATTACGAAAATCAACCAAGCAGCCAACTCGTATGCCTAGTTTCGAACCCATATGACAATCAGTATTCGGTGGTCAAGTTCTCCGCCAGTATTTGGGCAAATTACTTTATTTTACCCTACCATGTATTTCTAGACACAAAAGTTAAGCATTGCTGTTGTATGCTCCATACAGTGACAATGCTTCATTTATATTTTCATGCAATAATCATGCACGCCATATTCTTTCATTATATTTTCACGATTTATCAAATGAACTTACATTTTCCACTCTATAACACGCCTAACTAGTTTTATCAAC